TAAAGATTGATCAAAATGAAAGTGATTCAGATACCTCTGAAGTCGACCTTGTGTTAACTAAAAAAAGCAATCTTCCAAGGAAATTACATTTAACTCTAGTAAATCATTACAATCAATATTTCAAAGAACTTCAAAGAAGCAGCATCCAGCGCATCAAAATGTTATTAGGGAGCTATCAGAAAGAAATTATGAAGAAGCTAAATACTGGTGTGATGAATTTTTAAAAATTTTTCCTAAAAGTTATTCCATGAGATGCATTTTGGCTTATATATATAAAAACCTTAATCATCACGAACAAGCACATCTAAACTTAAATAAAGCCATTGGCTTAAATCCAAAAAATCCAATTGCATATTTTATACAAGGAGAAATTTTTTTCAAAGAAAATAAATATATGGATGCAGTTTTTGCATTAAATAATTCAATATATCGTAAAGCTAAATTTAATAATCTTCATTTAATAATTGGAAATATTTCACTTCATTATTGTAATAGCCGTAAAGCGGCATTACAAAATTATCATATGGAATTACAATGTAATCCGAATAATTATTTATGCTTAAAGAATTGTGCATATATTTATGAGAAACAAGAAAACTACCTGAATGCTTTGGAAATGTTACGTAAACTGTTGAATATTAATGAAAATGATTCATTAATTTTATGTTATTATGGAGAAATCCTTATGAAATTAGGTAGATATGTTGAAGCGGAATTATATTACACAAAAGCAAACAATATAGATCCAGAAAACATTCACATTTTAATTAAGAGGGCCATTACTTATATTGTCCTCCAAAAATACGATGAATCATTCTTTGATCTCAACAGAGTTTTAAAATTAGATCCTATAAATACTTTGACACATTATTATAAAGGACTGATTTGTTATTTACTAAATGACACAAGTGATTCCTTAGCAGCATTAACGAGGTGTACGGAATTAGATTCAAATGATGATTTAGCAAAAGCACAATTATATTATTTAGAATTTTTACGCGATAAAGATAATTTAAAAGATACAATTATTACAAAAGTTAATCAGATTTCTAACATCGATGAGGATAAATCATTACTGCTTATTAGATGTAAAATATATATTGAATTAGAAATGTATGAAAAAGCATTAAAGGATTCATATAATTTATTTAACAAGAGTCGTGAAGATATTTCAATTTTTTTCCCATTAAAAAAATACTTGTCGTTTTGGTCATACTTATGTAATTATTGTAACTTAAATGATCACGAAAGCAAAAGTTATGGAATCGTTGATAATTTTAATACATACATGTTTAAAGGTGCGTAAATACTTGTATTTTTTATATGTCACTTAATTGAATTTTATCTCATTCCATTAAATATACAAATTTATCATAGGGAAAAGGTGTTATTTTCTATCAAATCTTGAGAATATTGTCGATAATAATAATTTATTGTTTCGAGATGATCATAATAGGTAATTTTTTTTTTTGATATGATATCAACATATTATATTGCTTATTTTAATATGATTATTTTTATAAATCAAAGCTTATCAGGAAGGATATTGCACGTTTCGGAAAGTTCCAAATTTTTTAATCCTCAGAAATTTCCAAAACTATCGAGTTTTTTCTTCCTACCTAATTTTGTATCTTGGAAAATCTGTATTGAAGGAATATCATCAAAAGAATGTACCGTGATTTTTGTGGTCGAAGCAGGTTATGTAAGCAAATCAAAATCAATTATCTTCATTGAATTATAAGATTAAATCATCATTAGTTTACGCAATTTTTACTTATAGGATTCCCCTCAGAAACATCAGAGACATCAAGAACACAAACTAAATTACGATAAAATATCAGAAATCATTGGATTAGGTTGGATCGAGTATGAGCTTCCATTTGAGCTAATCAAATGGAACTGGATACGACCTTCAATTAAAGTAGAAAATGGTACAATTGATATGGTATGATTTATTATATTGTTCGTTCGCTAAGTGTAAAGTGTAATTAATTATAATTTGCAAAAATTGACTTGCACACACTGCTTACCTTCAATTTTGAAGAAAATCGATTATGTTCGGTTAAACTCATTTGAAAGAGGACCAATTTATTTACCAAAGATGGGTCATCTGTTACCAACCTACAAATCACAACCAAATGTACCCGAAGCTTTTGAAGATAAGTACTTTTCAAAGAAAGAAATGGCAAACTTCTTTGAAATAAAAGAAATCCTTAACTATCTATAATTTCACCATTCACAATAACAATTTGCTTTATTTTTTCTATAATTTATATGTTTCGTGATTCGATTATAATGATAAGCTTAATATAACCTGAACTATTTGTCCAGACTATAATAAAGTTTATAAACTAAATAATAAGTTCCTAATAGAAGAATTTAATTATAAATTGAGTTGTTCCATCCTTTATTTAATACTATTATAATTATAATAATATGCATGTTAAATAACGAGGCTCCCGGACCCTTTTTATTTTCATTTTACTACATAGGTCCTCTCAGATTTCTTAATAATTGTTATGAAAAAATATGAGACAAAAATTTGAGAATTACAGCCTCCGTGAAATATATTTATACAAATCAGAGTTTCTTTAAAAAAATATACAACTTTTCCTTCAACGAAAAATAATTTATATTACGAAATGAATTAGTCAAAACGAATTAAAACAACAATCTTCTTGTTGGAATTTACTAGCAATGTCATTATAACCTTATTATTATCGTTATTATGAGGATCCATACATAATAATTCGTCCAAATCATCTTAGATTTTGCTTATTTAATAAACCTAAAACTTAAATACTTTTGCATTTCAATATATTTTTTTTTGACTATCCCTTCCCTTTATAAATAACAGGTTAAGTGAAATGAATAAGTGAAACCATCGAGTATTTAATGTTACTTAATATTTGTAAATGACGAAAATTCTAAGAATATGCCCATCGCTTTTAAACAAGACTTGCTTTTGTTAATGTGTAAAATTTACAATTATTATAAATTTTTTACGCTTGTTGAAATAAAGTAATAAATAGATTTAATCGCACGTGAAAACGGCTCCAATTTTTCACTCATCAAATAATCAGACAAAAACTCTTGACCCTTTCGCCAATCACTTCGAAGATAATCAAATTTTCGCGATCTGCACTGTACTTATCTTGCTGGTACTAACAATTCAAATATACGCAAAACTTTCGTTATTTTTAATTTTAATTCTTTTTTATTAAATACTTTCTATGTTTTAATACCATTTTTGATCCAATGGTATGTATTAAATTCAAAAATCATTATTATAGTAATAATTTTATTTAAAAAAAAAATGAAGCCATGTCACAATAAAATTATAAATGCTGTGTTAATCACGCAATATTTAAAAATAACGTCTATTATATTTTACTTAATGCTAACAGTTGATGTTTATTTAAATATAATAAAGCCGGTGTTAGACTTGGAATTTTACCGAAATCAAGCTAACAAAATTATCTCGAAGGCCTTTCTTAAGAGAAATTAACGATTAATAAACAAAAAGATTTCATTATGATTCATTGTGTAATTAATTATCACGATCAGATCCTTGTATGAAGACAAGAAAGTGTATAATAGTATCTTTATTAAGCTGTAGAGTTAGAAGTCTAGTCCCAAGACTTATTAAGAAGACTATCTGAGAAAACTCTGTCGACTTAAGGTCAACTTATAGATCTATTTATATAATTGGTACTATACTACGCATTTTAACAATAATAAATAAAGCATGGCATGCAACGTAACGCTTGTAATGTGTGAATTATTTTATTAACATGTATCGAATAATTTATTTTTCATTACATGTATTACAGACTGATAAAATAGTATTACATTTGTGAAATATGCCGCAGTGTGAGATCAACTGAGGCGTAGCACGATTTCGTGACTCACCGGATATATCCTCTACTCTGTTTGTTGTTAAAACTATTTTCTCATAGTGATACTACATAAAATTAAAAAACTCTATTTTCTAATTCAATAGAAGAATTTGATTGTATGTTAGTAGGTAGAGCGTTATATCGTTGTTGCATATTAATTTCGTCCAGTTTCATAAAGTGAACTCCATTAGTTTGATTCTTTATTAAAACTTTATGATAAGTAACATAAGATTGTACACATTTCGTATTAAGAAAATTTTTTAATGTAATGAAATAAAGAAAAGTGTTGTATATAAGCTATAAAGGAATATTATGCTTCACACAATACTTAATAGCTTCTTATGCTGTTAATAAGCAGCTAATACCATATCCAATGCTTCATCCTTAATTCCAGACTTATCATTTTAATATAAAAAAGCAGCGTTAAACATAACCATTGTCTGCGGCCTTGGTAAAATAATCGGCAGCTTCTTTAAATTCTTTTTAACTCCGGTACCTTTATATAAACTATCAACATAAGCATAACGTAATTGAACTTCGGGATATACCGTATCCGCCGTTTCTTTATATAATCTTGCTACTAATTCTTGTTTTGCTGTTTGATCTATATCAAGTTTAACATAATTCTGTTATAGTAAGCTTTATAGTATTTTGCTTTTATATGTTTAATTCTCATATGCTTCAAAATATTATAAGATAACTCTCTGTTTAACTGCATCATCTACTCATATAATTAAACGCTGAAAATCTATAATTGTCCCTTTTTCTTTTGAGGTAGTTTTAACAATCGTTGGCTTAAGTTTTGTGCTAATGGTTGCATATAAAAATACGTTAAAGGTCATGTAAAATAGTAAAGATCTTTGAAAATTGAAGTCTAAAATTATGATCAGAATGAACAGCTAGGATAGATTTATAATAAAAACTTAATATAAAAAACCAAATAGGTATGCTAATGAAAAAAAACCGATACATATATATATTGTACTCTAATACCTTTTTTTGCAAGTTCTTGATATTCTATTGTAATTGAGAGCCGAGAGAAAATGGTCACGATATTTATTTTTGCACACTAGCTCGGTAAACATAATAACTTCATTACCATTATATCAAAACTATAAACTTCACACCACAAAAATCACCATAAAATGTTGATCGTCCACTTGAAATTTGCCACTTAAGTACTCCGACGCTATAAACTTTAGACTTTTTATCTTCTTCCTTTTCTTGCGCTTTAATCTTTTCTTCAGAATATTTAAATTGAGCGCTTACGTTTGATAATTCAAAGTTTAAGTTTTGAACTTCTCGTTTTCGGTTATCTAATTCTGCTAATATCTCAGTAAGTTTATGTCCTGCTAATAATTCTTTTAAATTATCTAAATCCTTACTACCGATTTCATTCAATAGAAAGGACAGCAGTAATTGATTTTCATCGTCGGCTTTCTTTTTGCTTTGTTCTAAGTCCTTAATTCTTTTATTCAAGTACTTCAAATGTTTTTCTAAATTATGTTTTAAAATCATTTTATGATTAATTTTTCAAGAATTTGGTGAAATATGAATTTCATTTCCTTTTTAATTAAGTAAACAAGAACCCATTTCTATATAAGGTTAAAGTCAATAAATATCTTATTTTAAACTTCTGTCTATGACGGCGTTCCAACATTTAAATTCATTATTGTTGACTAAAGTAGAATTTTTGAGAAAATTTCTGGACAAGCTTTTCGAAAAGTAGTGGAGTAATGTTGATCAAATGAGTATATGTAGTGTAATTTATGTTGAGTTTGATTTTTCATATCGTTAACTCGCAATACTGGGTAGATAGTGTTACATTAAATATAATTCCTCATAATTTCACATGTAGATTGTTTCGATGTTTGCAGTTAATCCTTTGTAGATTATTTTGAAATGCCAGGTTGGCAGAATGACAGGATGTTAGAAAGCCAAGCTGTTCTAAATTTTTTTTTTTTTATAAATATTAGCTGGAAATCCTTAAACAGCTCAACATTTCACGCTCGCCCTCCTTATATTACAATATACACCTTAAACCTTCCTTTCATCCCTTCGCGACATTTTCGCTTTAACCGTTTAGCATTTTAATTTTATTATTGAAATTTCGTTTATTTTTAATTCCCGATTATTCTTATTATTTTATTACACAATTTTTCGTAATTATTGATTGGCATTTACTTAGTTTAATATATTGATATTGCGAAATGTAAAGCGTCGACGTAGAGGTTACACTAATTGATTTGATTTTAACGTCAATATCACTTCATTCTTAATAAAAACTTCTGCTTAAATTAAAATTGTTTATAAATACATGAACGAAAGAAGAATACAAAACGTACCGTACCGTACTGATCCTATAATAAATACTATCAAATTTCGCGAAAGTACTGATCGTATCGTATGGTCAAGCGAATCGTTCCGTACTGGTACACTTCATATCCAGATTTCGTTCGTTGAACAATGAAAACTGTTGGTTTCTTTCATCAATACTTTACAAACGCACGAGACAAATTTTCTATCACCCACTACACGCCCCTTAATTTTCATTTTTATCAAGTATTTTACTCTGTTATTTGCCACCTGTAGTCACGGGTAAATTAGGGTAGATAGAAAACCGGTACGGTACGATTCGCCAGACCAGTACGGTACGATTATGCAGATCAGTATTTTTCGCGAATTTGAATCGTACCGTACCGTACCGGTAGTATATATAGAGCTTTTATTATAGGACCAGTACGGTACGGTACGGTATGACCTTTCGTAATAGACGTTGATAACACGGTGAATTTATTATAAAGTTTGTAATGTTTTAAAATTAAAAATTTTAACCGATTATTGATTATATTCCTTTTTATTTCAATAAAAAAAAAATAATAATAATATAATCATTTTTATTGAAGGACAAATGCATCATAATAAAATAAATTGTTGTTTTGTAATTAAATTATTTTAATTTTTATGTAGCAACGCTTTTCTTTTTAATTTAATTTAATTAAAGTTATTTTGACAAACATACCATTGAATTTTATGTTAGAAATATAAACTTTAAAGATCTAATAATGATGCAGTATGAACTAGAACGAATTTTCTAAATTCGTACCGTACCGTACTGGTTCTATAATAATGCTTTATATATAGGACCAGTACAGTATGATACAATTCAAATTTCCTACGAAAAAATACTGATCTGCATAATCGTACCATACTAGTCTAGCGAATCGTACCGTACCGGTTTTCCATATACTCTTTGCAGAGCGAGCAAATATACAATATATAAGATTTTAATAGATCAAGTGATTAGAAATTTCGTCTGATGTATGTGCTGATCTTTTGTCGACCATTTCTAAAAAAAGTATTTAGACATGATTTGTGATGTAACAGATGACATACTGTATATACGTTACAAAAAATGTCATATAAATAATATTGTCTTTATACTTTTAACGTGAAATACCTACCAATATGTCTGATGAATCATTATCTTTACGACACCAAAGAGCTTTAGAAATATTGCAAGATCCAGAATTTAAAAGTATTTTGAGGATACTGTCAAAAGTCTATTAATAGAAAAGCGTTGAAGGAGTGGATAGAAGCAGGAGAACCGTATAAAGAGGATGATGATGATTTAGGTATATATTTATAATTTTTTTTAAAAAGTTTACAATATCTATTAAATTGAAACTTATCTAATATTCTCATAGCATACTTTAAATATAAGAAAAGCGAAGCTCGTAAAAATGGTGTTAACTATAGATCAGTTAATACTGTTACTGAATCAAGACCAGTTGGTAAATCTATTAATGTTCTAGTTGATAATTTAAGCAGAGTCACTTAACTTTTTTAACATTTTAAAGGAACCGGCGGATGTAACTCTCCTAACAGAGAAAAATAAAATATTGGAAGTATGTCTAGGATTTACCCCAACTGTGACCAGAAGTTCAGGAAGGAAAGCTTGGCTAGTACTCCCGCCAGCAAACAACCTACTATATACAAAAACAATAAACATCATGGTAAAAATTCTAAACCAAGAAGAATTCCCATCTTTGACATGAATAAGCTAAACCTTTTAAGATATATTGAAAAAAATGAGGAAGTTACTATATGAGAATTTGGAGAAAATGAATTACAGTTAAATCTACCAGCTCAATTGGAGATCTAATCCATAAAACTTCTTTTTTATATGCTTTAATTTTACCAAGCTATTGTCGTTTAATATTATTATATCTCAAGAGATGATGGTTTAGTGCAATCGCCTTCATTGAAGATCATACGTCATATGTAAATTTTCTAAATAACTTTTACAGTAACTATATTAATTAGTTGTCTTTGTGTATATGAATAAAATATTATATAATTTTCTGGATACAATATAATTTGCATTATACAATCCAAAAAAACATGATAGATATCAATTTGGCAACTTTGCTAAAGAATATTAAAAATATAAAAATTAATTATTATGTATTTATCTACAGGAATATGTATATGAGTTGCAATTACATCTGAATTACTCATCAACACACCATAACATTTGAACCTAACTAAAGAATGCTTACATCAACCATTCAATTAACTAACATTTATTACTTGTCTTTGATTTCTAAACCTTAATACCACTATTGTCCAAAGTTTAATATAAAATACCGCACGACTGATTTGATCGATATTCATATGATTAGTGTTGTATTTTTGAAGCTAGGACGATAATTGGTCATTTACTCAATATATTTAACCACTTCGTTAATACATTGATATTGTTTATCATTTAAATACGAAAATCTGACACATTACCCATCATAGTAGAATATTTATTATTGACATTATCATTGACATAAAGTTATTAATTGAAATATTTGAATTTTTAATCATGAAAATACCTTAAAATGTAGAGACTTGTAAAGCAAGAAATCAATTATTCTAAATAGTAATTAATTACCTACTATCATGTCTAAATTCGGTCTTTTTATAGGCATGCAAAAAAAATCATTCCTCAGGAACAAGAAAGGAATTAACCACATCATCGCATTATAATTAAGAAATTGTATCCAAAAGAACAGTTTGAACTTTGAATCGACGAATATATAAAGGTGTTTGATTAGCTTTGATTATTTATTGATTAAATCATGAAACTCTTTGGTCAGGGTTATCTCTTCCTAATCGCCTTATATGAATGAATGAAAATGATACATTTCTCTATATATTTTTGATTTACTTCAAGAGGTTCATGTGATGAAGTTAAGGTTTGGAATCGTTGAAATCTGTGATGGTATTTGTGATAAGGTTAATGTCTCTTCCATAAGAGCTTTGAGATTATTTGATCCGTTATGGAAAAAGGCATTAGGTATAGATTGAACTTATATCAAGCCCGGATGGTTCATCATTGTGATATTGTACTTTGAAAATTATCAGACTTCCTATTTTTTCTGAACAAGTAAATAAAAATGGTTTAAATGATGCATTTACTAGGTCCAATGCATTCAGATCAAGAGATTTCTAGCTAAAAGTACACGAAAAAAAATGTAAAAAAAAAATGTTAAAATTAAGAAATGAATAATTTAAAAAAGAAAAAAGCTCATTCAATCATTTGCTGTGGCTCGAAGCGAATAAAAAGCCTAACTCTAATCATGCTGCTTTTAAAAAAGATGACATAATTGTAAACTAAATGAAGTTAAACTTGGATAGTAAGCAACTAATTATACAAAATACTTATTTTGGGCTAAACAATCAGCTACAATCAATGGTGTTTTCAGAAGCATATTATAATAACACATAAAAAGTAAAAGAAATTAAAAGAAAATTAAAAAAAAAAAAATGAAAATAATAACGGAAAATATGATAGAAATATGTTATAATATAAAATTTTTATGATAAATAAATTTTTTTTTTTGATTATTATTAAAATTACACAAATCATATAATTTACTATGCTTATAATCAAAAAATAATAATATCTTTTTTAAAATTTTCATAACTTTCTAAGTGATCTGAAAATACTTTAATTTATTACAAATATGATATTCTTTCTTTATTATTGTAATATTTTGTGTATTTCTTTAATACAACACAAGTATACAGCATATTTTATTAGTTGTATTATTAAGGTTTGATCTAATTCAAAGAATGGATGAAAAGGATGTGGTTATTTTCCCATTTTTATTTAAAAATGGGAAAAATAATAATTGTGTGATAGAGATTAAAAAAACCTCTCAAATATTAATACAAAATAAAATAATTCTAGTTAAAATGATCAACAAATCATACAATTTACATGATATAGCATTTTTTAAATTAGATTGATCATCTAAACTAGTTTGTAAATCAGTTTAACTTGATTATTTAATTCCAATTAATTGAATAGTTATATGTTTGTTTTTTTTTTAAAAAGAATAAAATTGTTTTAAAAAAATAATATAAATTATAGCTAAAGATAACACCATAATTATTTTCAAATTTCAATTGAGTTGCAACTTAATTGTGATATAAGAAAATTTAATTGCAACTCAATTGCATCATTTTTAATTGCAATGCCTATCTTTAATTATAATTTTATCTCACTATAAATTGTATTAAAAAAAAATAAAAAAATAAATACAAAATGCAGCTTTATCTTACTAAAAATTACATCTATAAAAGCTTACATAGGAGAAATAATCTAGCTCTAAAACTATATAAAGATTAGGAATGTTAAGCAATCCTTAACTGATTCTTATAATTTAAGAGATTACTAACT